TGCACAGGGTTTTTGATATCATTTTCTTCATACTGCATCAGACGTATCTTTAAACCCACAAAAAGATCAAAATATATGTATTCCCTTCTGCTTTGTAATGAAAGAAAAACGTCCCCTATTCAGTACACCAAAAACATAAATGGTACGGCTTCACTTGTTATGCCATTAGAAAAATACGAGGGAAATATAATACTCCAGGGCAATACAGAATACTGTTTGCTACATGTTCATGTAAAGTAGTGAACAGAAAGGAAAGAAACAAATTGATGATTACTCATAGAAAAAAACAATACCATAAAGCAATGGAGCCACCAGAGAAAAATATTTTCATGGAGAAAAAACAATTTAGGGATATGAAAAGTAAACAGGAAATACAGAAAGAAAACTCCCAAAAATACTAAACGATGGATACTGTATATTCAGTATCTTTAGGATGCATTAGCCTTGACTTAATGGAATGATTATCACCCTCTGTTTGTGAAGCAGTTCTGAATCTATTTAATAACTCTGTGAATGGTTGGTCATCCTTTTGCCTCATATTTTTGGTCAACTTTATTTTCTTTAAAAGTAGCCAGGGATGGCACCAATTGTTAACATTATTTTTATATTCTTCAAAGACAAATTTTCTCAGAATTGGTGGAAGTTGATACAAATCAGCTACTGTAATAATGCAAAGTCCTGCAAATAGGTAGTTGTTTGATGTTGACAATATTTCATTTAGTTGTTGATGGATGTGCAGTAGCAAAGTATTTGATACCATAGAGATTCTTCACATATTGTCAGTTTTAAATCTGAGAATGCCACTCTCTCTCTCTCTTTTTTTTTTTTAGTCTGACATTGGTGTTATATCGTCACCCAATTCTTTGGGGATTGCATACCAAAAGAAAAAAGAGTTACAGGATAAACCAGTAATTGCATAAAAAAAAAACTTTGGCAAATGCAAGCCCAAAAGCAAAATTTATTTCCAATAGAAAGCCCAGTTGAACACAAATATGTGTCTAGTTTTGATTACATTCACTGTTACAGTATAATATGACCAACAGGAAAACACTACAATCCTTCAACCTCAACTACTTTATTAAACAATGAGAGATATTCTTAATAAGGAGTGACTCTTAAAGGCAGCACAGTAAATATGCTCGATAAACTTGCTTAAGCCCACTATAGTCTATATCTCAGCTCACCACTGAACCAAACTCACAGTTTCCTCTGTTTCTTGAAATTAGCAGTCTTCCATTATAACTCTCTGTCAAAGTATAGCTTTCTAAACAGTCAGTCACTCCTGACAATAACAGCAACTACTACAACATGCATAACTAAGTCCTTAAATACATTCACTAAGTGTTCTAAAACAATTCAGAGAAGCTTACATGAGAACTATTTCAGTACTATTACGTAATAACTGCATGATTTGATGAAATGTTCCAGGAAGTTCTATGATACACATGTCAGCATAACTAGGTGGTCTGGATATTTCTAGAAATTTACAACAATATTTACTCATAACATCACTCTCTGGGAAAACTGAGTGCATTACTGTAAGGACAAATGACTTTACTGTGTATGGAGAAATTGCCAATTTGTAATGTTGTATTGAGCTTGATAAAGAGAAATAAACTCTCTACACCACATCACATTAAGAGAGTTTCCAGCATGGGTCTCTGCCCCTGCGAATGTTCACATCACTAAAAAAAACAAAACACCAGTTGAACAAATATGGGGAGCCATTTGTGCCAAATTATCAATTCCTAGTGATAAATTCAACCATTAGTGCCAAAATATCAATCGCTAATGATAAAACTCGATCATCAGTGCTAAAATATCAATCACTAGTGTGGCGCAAAGCACAAACCTGGACTGAACATTAAAAAGTTTTGTTGTAGTTTTACCCTGTAGCTCTGTGATTTTATTGTCATCGAAACTCAACAACTAGTGATAAAACTCAATTGTTTGTGCCAAAAAATATCAATCTCCAGTGATAAAACTCAATTGTTAGTGCTAGCAACAAATCATAATTGTATATCAATTTAGTTTCCATTCTAAAATGGTCAATCATTAGTGCAGAACCTCAATCCTTTGTGTTGTTGCACCAGATGCTGCTGTGAGACAATTAAAAGCATTAATATGTTGTTGAATCTCTATGGCTTGTGCTATTTGTAGAATACAGAAATTTAATTACTTTTTTATAAGTTATTTGTGGAGACAGTGATCTTATCAGCTTTTGTAATTTTTTTTAGAATTACAATAACTTTTCAATAAGGATTTATTGAAAAAAAAATTCTCTTCAAAATATTTTTTTGGATCTCAATGTCCCTTATCAGCTAGATTACAAAAAAGTAAGCAAGATTTGATTGATTCGTCTTCGCTATACAATTGGGAGAGTGGTTGAAGTAAGAATAGAAAACAAATTGATACCAGTGCTAGCAAGTGATGTTTAGCAGTAGCGATTTGTGCTTATCCCAAACAATCGGTGGCAACGCTGACAATTGACATTGTTACAATTGACATTGTTACAATTAATGTGTTTTTATTTAATTTGTGCATGCTTCCATTGGGAGGATGATCTATGGCATCCAGTCCAGCAGACCCCTCTAATGGTGGCAATGCTGACAATTGACATTGTTACAATTTATGTATTTTACAAAAATTTGTGCATGCTTCCATTGGGAGGATGATCTACGGCATCCAGTCCAGCAGACCCCTCTAATGCAGGGTGCTTCTTCACCTGTCTTGAGGTTGAACCAGGAAGTTCCTGTGTTGCAGCATCTGTTGAAGTGTGGTCTGTCAGAGATGCAATCTCACTTCCAGAGGGAGCAGCTGAAGGTTGAGATTGAAGAGAGGGATTTTCAATGTTGAGTTGAGAGATTTTCACAGGATGACCTGGGGATGGGTCAGTCAGTGTTGAATCAGTCTGTAGCCTCTGATTTGATGCATCATTGGGATTATGCTGACCTGCCACACCTGCTGTGGAAACAAAAGGGGGAGGATTACTGAACCCTGAGGCAGCTGTTGGTGCTTGGAGTACTTCATTGCCAACATTTGGAATCACTGAAGCTCCTTGTGATGCCCTCTCAGATGGGACAGCTGGAGGTGAAGACTGAGGAGAAGGATTCACCATGGTGCCTTGAGGAAGTGGCCCAGGATAGGAAACATATTGGTCTATGCTAGGTTGAGACTTTTGTACATGATGAGGACTAGATGGATTGACAAGAGTTGAATCACTTTGTGATCTTTGATATATTGCATCACTGGAACAACTTAGCTGACCTGCTCCAGATGCTGAGGGGATGACAAGGGAAGGATTACTGTAACCTGAGGCAATAATAATTTGTTGGGGCTCTACATTGCCAACAGTTTGAGGCACCAGAGGTCTTTGAGATGCACTAACAGATGGAACAGCTGTAGTTGAAGAGTGAGAAAGGGGATTTTGCCCAGTGCCTGGAGAAAGAGGCCTGTAATAGGGATGGTTTGGGTCAGCATATATAGCCCCTTGATATATTGGAGCAGTACTTTGAGATGGCAGACCAGTCGGGTCAGGATGACCAGAAATCCAACCACCTCTAGTGGCCTGTGGGTTGGAGAAAGGTGGAAGTCTTTGATTGGATAGATCCAAACCACTTGTGACATTTGGTGGGGGCGAGAAAAGTGGAAGGCTTGGATTTGATGAAGTCCAAGGTTGGTAGGGTGGTACTGTACTACCAGACTCAGTTTGCTTTCTGGGGTCACAATGTGGAGGAAAATTTGGCAAGACACTGCGCATGTCATTTAAGTTTGGGAAAGGCCTCTGTTCTGCTGTGAAGGAAAATCATTGATTGTAACATTCAAGTATGCTGGCAATATTACCCAAAACAAGATAACATGATTAAAATGACTACAGAGCCACAATTATCAAAACTGAGACAAGTGACTTCATGTTAAGGATGATGGAAATGTGTAGCAGCAAGAGGGGAGAATTAGCATCAAATTTTGGGACTCCAGGGGTTAAGAATCAACCACATACACGCTAACCAAGTGCAAAATTTCACCTCACCACAATGTATATTTAATAAAATGAGGTACCAAACATTTCCATTGATTTATTACAAAATATTTATGACAAGCTGTGGCCATTAAGGAGTAGTTTGACCCTTTAACTCTTGAGGTTGAGATGTACAGTGAATAAGGCCATGCCTGAGGATTAAGAACCAGATATTTTCCCCTGTAGCCCTACCTAATTCAGTCTAGAAGAATTTTATCATAAGACCATTCATCTTCCCTTTTTTCCCCTTTCTTCTTTTAACTCATGGCTACAGGGCTGTACAGCTTTGCATTGTCTTGGTCACATGACTGTATACAGCCTATGCCTGGTTTTTTTTCTCATCTAATTTTTTGTTAAGGGCCAAATAATATCACTGAATGATGATCATTACAAGAAGCTTCCTCTGATTGATCAAGAAAAGCCTTAGTTACTGCATGATAATGGAGATTTGCTGTCTAGAAAAAATGGAAAAAAGACATTCTGGATCATATGATGCTCTGTGGTTGCCACTTTTTTCATCAAATTATTAGCCTTTTCATTGTAGGAGTCTGTAGGGGATAATGCACATAGCAGTGGCAACATCAAAGCATTATATTAGATGTTCCAACATGTCAGTACACACAAAACTCCAGTTCCAAAATAGCTGATATCTGTTTCAATTTTTTTTTTCATACAAGTTTGCCATCAAATTTTAATTAAAAAGTTCCTTTTTATAATTCATTGATACTTTGTTCCATCAGTGGAGCTTTCTTTTAATATAATACCTCTCACTCTTTCAGACAAATCTTGTCTTTCTATAAGCTCAAGGCCTTTCCATGATACTTTCATGGTTGCATCACCAGTTTTTCTTTCTTCCAACCATTTTATATGCCAATTGTAGCGACCAGAAGAAATCACAGATGGGCACAATCCAGGCACACCTGGCAATTTTTGCTGATCACTGCCACTGGTGTATAAAATTGTCAATTGTGTTGCCAGCTTTAGCTATTTTACAGCCAATATTACTGGTAGTCTACTGCTGCCTATAAGACCTTTCACCTCCATCTGAATAGCCTGCAAGGACTCTTTTCAATGCCCAAAATTCTGAAAATTACATTTCCAAGCTCCTCCATTTAAATTTTTTCTCGGGGAACTGGCCCCTTGTTATCACCTGGGAGAAACATCTCAGTAACTGTCCTATTATGCTGTCCAGTTACAAGTAGGACATGTACACTGTTCTACTAGTGTTCAAATTGGGCTGATGATAACCAGTCATGTTCGAGAGTTTTGTTATAGTTTTGATTATCTGTGATACTGGTAAATAAAAAGAGTGATTAGCTATCATGTGGCTGGAGAAGAACTATACTTGGCTGACCTGTGACACCATGCATACTCTCAGATCCTTTTACAACTTTGGCCTCTTATCAGCCTTAACAGTAGAATTTTGAAGCCCCTAGTATATCTTACATATCAGATTTGTGTGTAAAGCAACTCGGATGCTACGTGGGCCGTGAATTAAAGATCGGTATTTGAGACATGAAGAGGTGGCTAAGCAGTAGTTACGTGAGCGGAAGTGGATTTTTCAATCAAACCGATGTTATATTTTCCAACCAAGCTCTTAAACTCATACGTATAGAAAGAAAGAAGATTAAAAGCAATGAATCTTACTCTTTACGTAGCAAAGCGATGTATTTAAAGTTAGTTTCACATTTTTACTACCGTCCGTAAAATTGGCTTAGTCACATCCACGGACTGATTGCAACTTTCTGTTTTACGTCTTCACCTCTTCTATTGTACAATAAACCAACCCAAGAAAGTAAATATCCTTACCTTGAATCTCTAAAAGTCTATTCCCCAAGCCATCTCTTTTGATAGTATTGAGCATTGAAGCCAAAAAGTGTCGATTTTCGTCCGAGAGCAGCTTCCGACGTTCAAGCTCTGAGAAGAACTCAAGTGCACTAGTAATTCTCTCTGCTCTTCCGGCCGGAATAATTTCTTTGCAAAGATATTTAAGCGAGGTAAGATCTTCAGCTGTTAAATGCTGTGAAATATCCAACAGAAGTGCTCGATAATGACTCATTTTACTATGTTATCAAGCTAATTTGCTAAATACAGATTCTCGAAAAGACTTTCCCGCACTCAGAAAGGACTATGGGATGCAACGTAACCTTCTTCCGGTTTTTGCTTGACAAACATAAACAGACTCATGGGATGAACTAATGGAATGAAGAGTGGAATTGCTGAATGCTAGTATGTAAGGTATCCGGTCGTTCCTAGGAACTTTCCGCCCGAACTTCGAAGTCATTTCGCCCGATGTATATATCGTCTTATCTAAGTGTTGAGTAGAGTTCTTTAACATGGTATCTTAAATAAAACTAATGTTTTCTGAATTTTTGTAACGAAGCACAACATGAATGGTTTAATATTTTTGCTGAGTTGTATACTGACTTTTGATCGCAGAAGTTCCGAAGGAGTTAAATATTCCAGCGGTTGAATGGGCAGTTGTTTTAATAACACGGTCAACAAATATCTACAAACATTACTAAAAGAAATCAAAAGAATGGAATAACAGCTTCATCTTTGTAATTTTATGCACTGTTAGTTCGTCGGGCGGATCGACTTCGGGTGGATTGTCTTTCGGGCGGAACGACCGCAATTCGTAAGTAAGCATGTCCCGCCTGTGCTCGTAAAATGCTGAAAAAAATATCTCTAGAATACCAAAAAGTTCCAAAAAAAGTTGCAAAAAATCCCAAAAGTTACTGGTCGAAGTTCTTGATATTTTACTGCTAACACTGGTCAAGAACAGTAGCTTGAAATTTGGCTTTAAAGAGTGGCTAGCAAGTACGGACGAAATTTTTAGGACACTCTTGCTACACATGTCATGGTTCACTTGACGTCTTGCCGAACGATATGAGGGAATTTGACAGGTTACGAGTTCAAAAGGTTGATAAACATTCGCGTGAAATCGTATACACTGCTCCCCCTGGATAATAGTGAATTTTTCTATCAAATTATCGACTCTTTCTTACCTGATATGTGCTGTAAACCTATATTTTGCTCAGAAATTGCTCAGTGAGATAAAAGTTGCTCGTGGTTGCTAGAAACGCGAAAAAGTTGTTCCAGACGCCAAAAGTTGCTCAAAAGTTGCCGTGCACAAAAGGGACAGGCCTACCAGTAACAGCGACTCACCTTGTGTGGACCGAACCAGCATACTGCAAGAACCCAGTACTTTGACGATGGTCGCTAGTCACAACTGAAAATGGAAAAAAGTGACTATCAAAATCTGAGTGAGATGGATGGAGTGAGGTAGTGACGTGATACAGATAAGGACTTTCACGTCAGAACTAAACTGCTGGCAAATCTTATAAATATAGGGTCAATCAGTCATGGAAGGTAGTATGAAACGTTGATATTTTTAGTTGTTTTGGTGATATTTTGCGACGGCATTTCTCTAGAGTTAAAATAAACGACAGGATTTGTCTTCCATCCTTAAGGGCTTTAAAAAAAGCGTTTTTTACAGTATCTTCACTTGTTTGAAGTAGAAGTTCTTGTGAATATCAGAATCTTGTTGACGAAGCGAACACCAACTTTGGAGGAAAACCTGACGACAGCCTACTTATGTACAAATAATTCAAGGCAACCAATCACTTTTCCTTTCAATTTCCGCTTGTGACACCACTTAAAAATTCAAATTTTATCGATAAAAGCAGGGGTGCATGAATTTACCATTTAACTGATGATAAGTTTCGATAAAATGAATGTGTGCGTAGAAAGGCTTTTGTTTTAGAGCTGTTTAACGATCCGTGTTGATGTCATCGGAAAAGAGGGTAGGATTTTATATACGACTAATGGCTTGAATTGTACCTTTTTACGACCAGCAGCTTTATTTTTTGGCCGTTCTACGGCCAATCCATTAAGACCCTCATGAAAGTAAATCAATTGAGCACATAGCATAGACCTGAGAAATTCCTATGCAATTACTTCTCGATTATCGGCAGGCTGCATTGACGACGCTTTGATTTCTACTTTTGATAACGCTTTGAAGGAAATGAATTACGTCGCCCTGTTGTTGTTCACTTTTGCAGTGGCGAAGTCATGGCCCTCTTCGAGGGTGGAACGTGAAGCGGAGATGGATGGTAAGATGGAAGGTAATGAATGACTTGTAGTAACCTGATAATAACTAATAGGTACAATAACTTGTAGCAACTGGTAGCAAAAATGGGAAAGACGCGAACGGGACACTGAGACTTATGCTAGATGCCCACCCAGGGTTATGGAAATTTGAAAATATGTAAAAAATTATACAGGTATAATTCAGATATCAGCAGACCAAAAAGTTTGTCTTCTTTTGCGGTAATAGGGTGCAAGCGAAAGTCCCAGGTAAGTTTGTTCGAAACAACTTCACCCAGATCTCTCTGTCTATGCACACGTAGTAACTTTTCGGGGTTGGAAAAACAATCTTGAAGTAGAGGCATCTTTTTCCGCATAACCTTGGTCCAAGAAGGATTTAATTGGATGTTGTTTACGTGGCTCCAACGAATGGGGTTTGTTAGAACTTATTGAGGTCGTCCACAATCTATTGTCGATGAGATAGGACTGAAGATTTCAGTATGAGTCACCAAGGGTAAACAAGGCAAACGTGCCGCCTTCCACAACATGCCGTTTGATGACGATACTCTCTTGAAATGCTTTCAATATGATTTTATAAGTAGTGTTACGTGCAGAAGTTGAAAGGAAAACTGAAGTAATTATGTAAAGTCTATGAATATTTCGGTTATACCGTTACAACTTACAACACACTTTAATCAATATTCACCTCACTTAAATACATTTTACAACATTTTTATTCATAGTTAACATACAGCCATGCAATCTATTCCAATGATAAATGCATTCTAAAAGTTACAACACTACAGATTAGATGCCTTGGATTTTCAGAACATTTAGATTTTTCTCGGGTTTACCTGCAAAATTGTGTTTTTAATTGATGTTCACAAATTCGAGGAAAATTATGTATTCTCGTATTTTTTGTAGATGATACCAATAATTTTGATATTTTTTTTCCGAACTGTCACTAACAGTAACTTTTTTTATTAAAAACTACAAATTTCCAGGAGGAACAAACGACTACATTTTAAAGGGTTGTGATAAAAAAGTTTTCGTTGTGGATTGACCCATGCTGAACCCATTCCAATTTTGGAGCGTTCATTAACAAGACGCCATCTGATTGGTTCTTTACCCGGTCAGTATTTTCCTATCTCTGTCCACTGGCAACGGTAACGCTTTCGTGAGTCGCCGAGCACATCCCTACATTCGCTGCCATTTTTCATTTATACACATATTCCCCTTCTAAAGGTCTTGTTCAACATAGAATCTTTGTAGCTCAGTAGTACAACAAGGGATCACAGAATCCCAATATCTGGGGTTCGATTCCATGGGAGCCCAAAATTTATCCCATGCACGAGATAAAACGAAAAATACCTTACTTCAGAATGTACGTTCTCTGGACTACCTGCGATGAAGGTTGGGTCTTGCTAAACCTACAAACTTCTCAAAAGAAAGGTACATTGAGACGGGCGATCCGTATCAAAAATGACTACGTATATCCCAAAGATGAAGAAGAACATACATGTGCAACTGATTTTATCATTGGAGCTTCAAGTTAACGCGTATTTGACATCTGGAAATAAAAAACTCATTTGATTCACTTACTCTCGGTGAGTATTTACCTGTCTTATCCATCCCTACCCTCTGTTGCGATGTTATCAACAATGATCGTAAAAACGACTTGAATTTCAAGTCACTTGAATAAAAATTTACGTGCCTCTACTTTTCAACTGCAAAATTTGATTTGTAGTGTTACGTGCAGGAGTTGAATGGCAAAGTAATCTCTCTAAGCTGGATTTCCAGAACTTCTAAAATTGTGTTTGGGGTTTTCTTCCCTCAAAATAAGAAATTATATCAATCATGGACGTAAGAACATTTTTTGTTTGATGTCGAGAATTTCGAGAAAAATTAAAACTTTTCATGTTTCGTGTGGATTATGCCAATAATTTTGATATTTTTCGGAACAGTCTCTGACAAGTTTTATCTTTGATCATAGAGAATATTCTTGTTTTTAAAGTGTAAAAGCTACAAAATATGCGTGTATCAAACAGAAGCCCGGAAGGAAAATAAAGCTAAACATTTTACTTATGGTCTGACCTACGTTGGACCCGATCCAATTTTAACTATATTGATATTCAAAGATCGAACAGCCACGTTTGTTCAGAGTTAAGATTTACTCACAGAGATTAAGAGCCGAGTATCGACACCAGCTTCTGTCTTGTATCTGCGGTGAGTTGTCGTGGAAAAATACTACTCAATACGACAACAGCTCTTTCTTAAAGCTCAGTTAACACTTTTTGACGTGTCGCGATCGATTTAGCTTGATACATATCGAATGATATCTCAATGTCTCTTCTTTTAAGGGCTTATTGCGGTATCAGTTTCAACGGGTTATAATGGACGATGATAGACATTCGTGTTCTTCTTCTTTATCTTTGAGTGGGTGTCTGATTGCAAAACATCAGATCTTCCTGAATGAGGGATCTAAAATAAGGAACACGTCAGTGTTTTATCTTTCAGTGATATTCTGACGACAGTCATTTTAAGTCTACGTCCACCATCAATCACAGAAATGAAAAATGCTAGAATCTTTCCTGCTGATTTAAATTCTCATTTCGAAACTTAATTACTTTAAATTTTTCCGTTGAAAATTTGTGGCGTTCAGTTGCCACTGACGAGATTTACCTCGATGTCCTTTCACCTTAAAAGATCTTCAGACTTTGCTAAATGATTCAAGCTGAAAGTGTGATAACATTCTGAAAACTTTCAGCCAATCTTGATTTAGCCTTTAGGCTTTGAATTCAGCGCATCTGTACCCAAGACAACCCTGAACTATTACACGAATCCTATTGTAGTTTTCTCTTCCCTGAACTTGTTAATGAAAAGTGTGACAATATTCTGGAAACTTTCAGCCAATCTTGATTTAGCCTACAGGCTTTGAATTCAGCGCATCTGTACCTAACACAACCCTGAACTATCGCACGAATCCTACTGTAGTTTTCTCTTCCCTGAACTTATTAATGAAAAGTTTGTGAAAGTACTGCTTTATCATTCTAACTGAACTTATTTGTATCAAATCAAACAGAGAGGATAAAGAAGAGGAGGGAAAAGAGGAAGAAAAATCTTAATATTAACTTTTTAGCCGAGCGGACTAAAAAAATCGTTCAATTAAGATTGGAGTGCATAAGCAAGAACTTAGTTTAATAGAAATTGTTTATATCAACATCTGACTGGATAATGTATGAATTTTCATGCTTAATATGAAGACATTTTTTGTTTTAGATGGTTGACCGAAAATATATACAGGGTGCTTCATTTTGACTCTCATACGGCTCAGAATCATGTTCCCGACTGCACACAACGTGTGTTACGATAACACGCCAAGTGTGATATCAAACACGTTCGGTTTAGCGCGAAAACTTTTCGTAAACAGTACAAAATGTGTCCTCCAATAGTTGTCGTCATGATATCATCGAAAAACAAGAAACATGTCCTTCATACACCTGCTCAAAGATAAGGAGAAGAATACGATTGTCTAGAAATTCGTCCATTATAGCTCGTGAAACAGATAGTGCGATAACAAAAGCACTTCGAAAAGGAGATAAAATCTTTCGGTGTATATAGCTAATTAAAATCAACGATGATACTTCATAAAGTGTTAACTAAGCCTTAAAAGAGCTGTTATCGTCTTTTTCAGCAGCATTTTTCATCAACAGCTCTCCGCAGATATTGAGGAAAAGTTGGCGTCGACTCTCGGCTTTTTATCTCTGTGAGTAAATCTTAACTAAATGAACGTAGTTGTTCGATCTAAGAGTATCCGTGTGAGAAAACTTTTAAGCGCGTGATCGAAAACTTTAAATTATAAATTTTCATTCGAGAACATTCACTTCGCTACGCTTACTCAGCTCTTATTTGTGACAAAAGCTTCACTTCGGTTATTTTTTTCCCAGCCCAGCCTGTTTGTATTGATGTTTTTCTTTTCCCTTACATAATCGAAAGTTTCCTTATGTAAAGCTATTTTTAAGCGTCCTAAATCCCTTCGTCACTGACCGTCTGTAATGTATTTTCAAAAGGGACATTTTTTTAAATTAAAGAAGGGAACAGACTTGGGGCATAAGATGTGCTGGGTAAACCCCAACACTCGATACCCTCTATCAGTGTGAGGACAGGCAGAACTCCCAAGATAATTTGTGCTTCTAGCCACTCGTCATTTGATCGGGAGAATCGGGAGCTATGCCAAGATAACACTATTCAATTCGACCAATTTTCGATTGAGTGCCAAAAGTAATCCAGGATTGCTTTGGTTTTTTAATCTTATATGATCTATCAGAAAACTCGTGCCTTTTTCAAACCAATCAATCCAAAACTTGAAAAGAATCGAGATTTGTCACTTGCGTTTCTCGCACTTTATGCAGTTTGCTTGTTTTAACCCAGTCTGAGTTCTCAGCGGTTCCTTGTTGCGTCTTCCTCTTCAAACTGACTGCTTGTTGTGATTGCTTTGGTTCTAGTGTGGCGACACTCAATCGCAGTGTTTTGAAATTATGAGGGGAATAGTAGAGCTTCCTTTAACTCTTTGATTGCCAAGATCTCATTAGTTATTCTCCTTACTGTCTGTCATATAGTTCTTGTGATGTTAGTTCGGAGAATTTGGTATTGGATCAACTAATAATCCCCTAATTGATATTTTTCTTTGTTCTCATCACTTGATATTGTATTGATATTGTAAGGAGAAATTCTGTGTTGATCACCCATGAGAGTTAAAAGGTTGAGGGTATTTCCATTATATATATATAGAATGAAATGTCAACAGTCGACAAACTGCATTGAAGACGCTCTGATTTCTGTTCTTGATAACGTTTTGAAGGAAATGAAGTGCGTCGCTCTGTTAATAATCACTTTGGCAGTGGCGAAATCATGGCCTGCTACGCGGAGGGAACTTGAAGTGAGGATAGCTGGTAAGAACTTCAGTCATAACTTTGCGAATTGTTGAGTGAGTTACCTATATTAATTTGAAAATATTAACTCTGGTTTGAAAGAAAATACCATGTGACTGTTCTAAAAGTGAAGCGGTTTCCCTCAGAAACTAGGATCGAAGGTTTTCTTTTACTATGTATATTCAATCTTTTGGAGACTAAAGCCGACTCCCCTTACCCGATTGGAAGTTCATATGATGTTTCCGATTCATTTTATCCCAATTTGATGGGTTAGACATTTACTTCCAATTAAGTATTTCAAATTTCAAATGAAAAAAAAAACACACACACACACACTCAACTGACTGTTCTGCATAGGGAGCAATCTTTATTAGAAACATGGACAGAAAGTCTTTTTTTCTTTCGAGAAATTTTCACATCAAGAAAAATGCGATTAACTTCTTTTAAAACGTTGAATGGATCCCATAATTTTAATACTCTCATTTTTTAGGAGCAAAATTCGACTACCCTAGTAAAAGAAAAGCAGACTACCCCAAAACAGCCGACTACCCTAACAAAGCTGACCACTCAGAGGAGTACCCTAAGGAAGCCGACTTTCCCAACAAAGCTGACTACCCTGGCAAAGCCGACTACCCTAACAAAGCTGACTACCCAGAGGAGTACCCTAAGGAAGCCGACTACCCTAAGGTAGCTGACTACCCTAAGGAAGCCGACTATCCTAACAAAGCTGACTACCTTAACAAAGCTGACTACCCTAACAAAGCTGACTACCCAAAGGAGCACCCTAAGGAAGCCGACTATCCTAACAAAGCTGACAACCCTAGCAAAGCTGACTACCCAGAGGAGTACCCTAAGGAAGCCGACTATTCTAACAAAGCTGACTACCCTAGCGAAGCCGACTACACTTACATAGCTGACGACCCAGAGGAGTACCCTAAGGAAGCCGACTATCCAAACAAAGCTGACCATCCAGAGGAGTACCCTAAGGAAGCCGACTATTCTAACAAAGCTGGCTACCCTAGCGAAGCCGACTACGCTTACATAGCTAACGACCCAGAGGAGTACCCTAAGGAAGCCGACTATCCAAACAAAGCTGACCATCCAGAGGAGTACCCTAAGGAAGCCGACTATTCTAACAAAGCTGACTACCCCAGCGAAGCCGACTACGCTTACATAGCTGACGACCCAGAGGAGTACCCTAAGGAAGCCGACTATCCAAACAGAGCTGACCACCCAGAGGAGTACCCTAAGGAAGCCGACTATTCTAACAAAGCTGACTACCCAGAGGAGTACCCTAAGGAAGCCGACTATTCTAACAAAGCTGACTACCCAGAGGAGTACCCTAAGGAAGCCGACTATCCAAACAAAGCTGACCACCCAGAGGAGTACCCTAAGGAAGCCGACTATCCAAACAGAGCTGACCACCCAGAGGAGTACCTGAAGGAAGCCGACTTTCCTAACAAAGCTGACTATTGAATAGATAATAAAATTGCATTACATCAGTTTCATCTTCTCTGATGAGTGCAAGCATGGAACTAATGTCAATCATAACCTTCTACTAAAATTTGTAAGAACAGGGGATAATAGTTATCAAGGACAAATAAAGGAAGAACACGAAGCATGTTTCAATGTGTGTGCAATTAAATAATGACGAGATGAGTGGGGTCTTTATCTAATTTCACTCAGTTAACAAAAGAGTAAAGTTGAATGTAAATATCGGCAGATGCTCCTTTGGTAATCGTACTATGACCATGCGAATTGCCTAAATTAAAATCAAAGTTTGGCGTGACGGCAGAGGTATTTTATTAAGATCTTGGAGACGTGAGAAGCTCCAGGCAAAGAAAAATTTACAATGTAATCCAATAAAAAATCAGATAGGTTGGGAAAAGTGAAAAAAAAGAGAAGATATGGTAGGAAATCAGCTGAAGTTCTGGTCTATTCATGAATGATTTAGAGATCTTTGCCACGCCTACAACTGTAAGAAAAGCTGTTAAAAACCAATAATGACAAATAAGAAAGAGATAAGGTAAAAGATAACGAAACAAGAGAAGAAAAGAAGGAGCATTCGAAATGAGCAGAAGTTCTGGTCCATACATGAGTGATTTAGAGATATTTACCCTCGCCCCTAACTGATAGCAAAGCTAATAAAACTAATAATAAAAAGCTAGGCAGGGGTGAATGAAATTAAAGGAAGACGTGGGCGAGCATTCAAAATGAGCAGAAGTTCGGGTCCATCCATGAATGAGTACAATTAATTTGCCTCCGCCTCCAATTGTTAGCAAAGCGGTGAATAACTATTGATAACAGATAAGACAGAGATAAGGAAGAACGAGACAAAAGGCAGATTTGGGTGAGCATTCGACATGAGCAGAAGTTTTGGTCCATCCATGAATGAGTAAGCGAAATTTTCCCTCGCCCCGTCTGTTAGCAAGGCCGGAAACAGCTATTAGTAATAACAAATGAGACATTAGGACGAGCGATGTAAAGAGATGATATGGGTGAGCAGTCGGAGTTAGTAGAACTTCTGGTCCATCCATGAATGGTTGAGTGATATTTACTCTCGTAATTTTTTGCCAAAGTGATAAATAACTTTTAAAAGAGAAAAAGGATTACTTGCTGGAAACCTATGTAATTAAAATTAAGGTGATGATGATCACAATCAAGATTATTTGTTTCGTCTGCAAGAAATATGTAAATGAGAAAATATCCAATAAAGTAAAAAAAATATAATCAAGAATTTTGCCTAGAATCTAGGCTGATGGAAAGAGAAATTTTCCGTCTCCTCTCAAGATTGAGGCAAGGAATGCAACCATGTTAATGGAAACTTAGCAGGGTTCGCTCCTATAACAATATATCCTTTATAATATGAAAACTTGTCCCCAGAAAGAGGTCTGAAAGAATTGTACAGCAGAGACAAATTGGTATACTTAATAACGAAATTAAATCAATCAAGCATTGAGGAAACTTTGGGTGCCGATAGCCACTAAAAATGGAAAATTTATGCACTTAGCAGAAGTTCTTGTCCATCCATGAATGAATTTAAAGAGATTTTCTGTCTCCTCTCAAGACTGAAGCAAGGAACGCAACCTTGTTGAAGGAAACTTAGCAGGGTTCGCTCCTATAACATTATATCCTATAAAACATGAAAACTTGCCTTAATAGAATAATAGATATAGACAATTTCTAAACACATTATAAACGAAGACGGATGTTTCTTCGAGTATAGCTTCGACTGGTAGAAGACAGTTTTAGCAAATTATTTTGGAAAAAAATAAGCGACTATTGTATCTAGGATAGAGAGAAAGTTTATCAAAAATTACATCGCAGCCCGTTGGCTGAATTACGTGATTATTTGCAACATTGTGATATAAAATAATGCAAAAGTAGTGTTAAATTATATTAATCCTGTAATGATAACATTTAAAAAGACTTTGAGAAAAAATTATTTCCATATACAGTTTTTGCATAAAATTCAAGATCAAAAATAATTAAAAAAACATTCTATATTCTTCTGAAATACATTAAGCATCGTTTGCTCGACAGACCATTGAAAATCATGAAAGAGTTCTTTGCCCTGTTTGTATGGACGCGTGGTATCATGTAGGAGCGATTATTTCTCAGATTGTAAACGGAATGGTTTGACAATGATGACAAATTGGAGAGCTTATGATTAACGTCCAACTCGATACGATGTACAGATATAGTTCATAACAGACCATGATACTCTAACATCAGATGTTTTGGTCCATCCATGAATGAGTAAGAGAAATTTGTCCTCGCCCTCATCTGTTAATTAGCATGCTATTAACAACTATCAGTAATAACAAATTAGACATTAAGGCGAGCAATACAAAGAAAAGATTAGCTTTCAAAATGAGCAAAAGTTCTGGTCCACCCATGAATGATTTAGAGATAATTGCCCTCGCTTAACTGCGAGTAATGTTTATCAAAACAGATCATAAAGAACTATTCAGAAGCACGGACGAACAAAAAAAAAAAAGGAATAGTAAGAATATTCACAATCGAAGATCGTAGTTGATTTTCAGTATAAATGACTAGTTTAGGCTGATGGAGAGGAAAAGTTCTTACTAATATTTATGATTAGCGATACAGCAATTATGTCTTCGAATACTCCAACAATTTTTGCCTTTTGCCTTATCTCTGACCGATCACTAAATGTACAATTAATTTAAAAACTCGTTAAAAAATGCATCGAACCTTCGTAAGCAAACAACGTCAACAAATTGGTGGCGCATAAGGGAAAAAGCAGGATTACTATAAACAGTCGAACCTCTAAGTCATTAACGACTATCAGCCAGCAAAGCTTAGTCAATGATGGAAAAATAATTACATCAATCAAGCAATTAGAAACTTTGGTCGCCGGAAAAAGACTAATCAGTGTGGAAATGTATGCACGGAGCATAAGTTTTGGTCCATCCTTGACTGAATCTGAAACGTTTTATCGCACCCTTAGGTAAACAAGACCGAAAAGAGAAACAACTCAGACACATTGACTATTTCCAATATATCCAGTAAAAACCATGAAGAATGTTTCTGTCAGTAGTGTTATATACGGCTAGTTTGAGTGAATCGCATTAAATTCCTTTATTGAGTTTGTTATCAAGTATTCGCGAAACATTGACGAGCATTGTACCTACCCAATGTTACTTTGATTTTGTCACCGCTTCAAGGCTCAACGAGTTTCTAAAATAGCTTATCAGCAATTAGCAACTTCAATCGGTCACCGCTGGTTTCAAACCTTTTTTGAGGTCAGTTTAATCAACGCCGGCTGGCATAAAAGGCGGTGCACACACCATACTTTACCATAGATCGCACAGTGTTCCTCGAAGTAAACATTGCAAGATTGAACCATGGACCTAAAGTAAGTCAGAGCTTTCTCGTTTGTTAAATTCCTGTGCTTGTCTCTATAAGCTGATAATGGCTTGCCCGCCTGCCTTCTGCTTGTCTCTAAATTATTAAAAGAGTTCTGTTTCCTTTTTCAAGTGAGATGACGAATGATTTCAAAACGTGATTTCAAAAATGATTTGAAGCGTTTAACGGATACTTGACGAATTTACAGTTAGAATCAACTCAGATTTAAACAACAACTACTTCTTAAAGTGCCTATGACACGAAATTTTTCATTTGCATTTTCTGGTTAATGCTGTATTTAAAATTAGAAATAAGCGAACTTGACCATTTATTTATGCACTGAAAGAACAATCTGGCGACCAAAAAGTGTCCTAATAAAGCACGCGGCCAAAACGATCATGTTACATAACTACGACGTAGAAAACTGTGAAGACACGCCGGCAACTATGGTGGAGAAAGGAGAAATCTAGAAGAATTCTGCGGTTTGTACATACCATAAGCTAAATATTTACGCAAAAAAAATTCATGTCACAGGCACTTTAATGGCAAATTGTTTACTTCCTCTTCCATTTCAAACAGAACTGAGAACAGCAGAAAGATAGCAAGACACACTCCGTTGTCTGAAAAACGTTTAAGAGTTTACAGGATGATTTGATGGGACTGGGGCATTTCGCATTATTAGTGATCAAAACTGTCCTTATCCAAAATAAAAGACAATATTGAAAATGGAATTTAGTACATAGAGCAGGGCTGCGGCGAATTTGTTTATTCTCTTTTAGTAGACGCTTATATAGAGAAGAAAATTTCCTAGATAAAAAAAATAAAACCTGATTAGAACAATGCTTTTCTATGTAAGAAAAATTAAAGCGAAGAAGAAAAAATAACCCAAGAAATACGAGTATGTTTAGGTGTGACGTTAAACGGACTTTAAAACTTTTCAACAAACGATTTAAAATAATTTCAACAACAGTATGCAGCTCTTTTAGTGGCCTGTGGACCAGAATTTGAACAATTTGTGAGTTGTTTTGAAACAAGAAGCTTGACATCGATATATTTCGATACTGGTTAAGGGGAAAAGGGTTTGATAATTAGTCACTAATTACGTATCTTAAATTCTGAATAATCGTGGCGCCTTTGGGCTCAGATAAATCGCAATCGATAAAAATTGAAGACAGTTCATTTCTATCGACGAGTGACATTACACTGATGTCTATAATATTTTAATGGTTGGATCACTCCAGGAAAATGAAGTACCTCGCTTTGTTGCTGATGGTTTTGTGTTTGGCGAAGGCATTCATTATCGAGAGCGAAGAAGACCCCGAGCTGGAAAAAGAGGTGCACTTTTCATGAAATCTATTGATATCTCTTTGAGAGGGCTTCTATATTAACGTTTGTCTAACCTACAGAGTAAATAGACTTACTCTCAGTCAAATTATTTTTCAAGGAACCTGTCGCCACCATGAACGATGAACCTAATCCTGCGATACTAAACGAGGGAGAAAACGGTAAGTTTGTAAGTACAGTTTATCCTTTGAAATTTTTGGGAGGGAGAAGAATTCGAAGCGATAGCTAAATAGTCACTCACTAAACTCCCAGTTGCATGATAGTTATGCATGACCAGGGTAAGCCAAACATTGTTGCGGAGACGACTGACAGCTTTCTGTTGACACTTGAACGCGCAAACAAAACTTCGCAGTAATGCGGCTTTCTTTACGAGTAAATCTCCCTGTCCTTCCGACCGTAGAGGAAAGTAGTTTCTAAGAGAAATAATATTCAGTTTATTAGCCTCTTGGCTCATGTGGAAACTTAATCTTACTTTTCATTTTCCAGAAAAGCCTGTGAAACGACACTACGGATACGGTGGCTATGGTGGTTACCGCTATGGTGGTTCCCGCTATGGTGGTTCCCGCTATGGTGGTTCCCGCTATGG